GGTCCCAGAAGCCCCCGGGAGGGGCCGTCCATGGGGAGGGGTGCCGGCGGTCCCAGGAGGGCCCCGGTGCCCGGGTCACAGAGAATCCCAGTTTTCTGACACGGGGGCTTTGGTCAATGGATTCCACACGCAGTCATGCGATGAGGAGGGCATCCACCAACTTCCAGGTGAATGGGGCCAAATCACCCAGACACTCCACAGCACGGGGTCCACGTCCCCCAGGAATACGGGCTCACAGACAGCGCGGGGACTCTGGGAGAAGGGAACAAAGCTCTGCGAACAGCACCTCAGCGTCAGTGTTCAGAGGCGTAGGGCAGAGTGGGGTGCAGGCTCCCGGAGGCTCACATGATGGGGTAGGGGCAGCCCAGACGAAGAGGGCGCGGAGAGCCGGAATCCCGGCGCTGGGGCACGTGCAGGCTGAGAGCCAGCAAACGGGCACAGGGCTCCCCCCCGCCGCCCGGGGCCGCGGCCAGGCGAGCACCCCGGGGCCCAGAGGAGTGGGGGGCGGCCGCCGGGGCCCGCGCGGGCAGGGTGCTCACGTGCTGTCCTGGCACGTCTCGCGGTTCCGTGCCGGCAGCTCTCGGCTACGCCGAGCCAGCGTTTGCCATGAGTTCCAACCTCAAACATTCCCAGGCAACCTCAAAGGAAGCACCCCCGTCCAGGAGCCCTGCCAGGGCCTCCGTGTGGCTGCTGGCTGCCAAGCCGCCGTCTCGGGGGCTGTGGGGCTAGCCGGGGGCTGCCAGCTCTGTTTGGTTTTCCCCATCCCGCCCTGGAGCCTCAGACGCCCGTCTCGCCATGGAGGCGCCCGTATCCTGGGAAAGGCACAAAGACCCTACAGTGGGGCCGGGGAGCGCCGCACGCGGGGGCCATGTGCTCGCTGCACGCCAGGACCCCCCAGCACATGCGGCCAGCGTGCGTCTTGCCCCCAAAGCAGGGGCGCCGGCCGGCCCCCGGGGCACGGCCGGGGCTGCCCTGGTCCACGAGGTGTTCGCTGCTTCTTCCAGATCCCCCTCACTGGGTAGGACTCGGAGAAGGAGCCGAGCCCCGTACAGGCGGACACGTCCTCAGGGCCGCGCGTGACCGGCACGCCCGCCTCCCACCAGCCGCCTCCCAGAAGTCCTGCCCCACCAGCCGGGCCGGCCGCCCCCATGTCACCAGCTCTCCTGTTAAGCATTAACCAGCTCCATGTCCGGTCGCAGCAGGAATGGGTTCAGACACCCTGGCCTGGGAGGGCCATTTAGGGCCGGGCCCAGGGAGGGACCTGAGCCAGAGTGACCAGACCAGATGAGCTGGCCAAAGTTGCGTGGGGGCTGAGCTCATAGGCCTGCTGGGTCTGTTGGAGCAAGGGGGGGCGGGGTAGGTGGGCCAGGACTTCCGGCCTGCTGGCCCGAAGGGAACCGAGACCTCTGGGGACTGGCCCGGCCCAGCCAGAGGCAGAGGCATGGATGAAGTGACCTCCAGAAGGTTCTCTGGGCTCCGGAAGTCCAGACGTCAGCAGGACCAGGCAGGCTCAGATAGTCACCTGGCGACAGTGCCACCCGGCCAGGGGCCCTGCGCTGCACACACAGCATGGTCCTGGTTCCAGTGGCACCTGAAAGCTATGCTCCTCCAAACCCAGACGTCCTCGTGACTCAGGGCACCCCCCTTGGGTGTAGAACCTTCCCAAGTCCAGCCTGACCTCCCTCCCTCCTGCTGCCCCTCCCAATGTTCAGCCCAAATAGGCCGTCACCCCCTCTCACAAGGCCTCTGGGAGGATGAAGAGACCCCAGCGTCCCTGGAGGGACCCCTGAGGGTAGCCCCACGCCTGGACGCCTGGCGCCTGGGTCTCGGGAGGGACCCTCCTCCCAAGGGAGTTCCCTGGTTGCTGAGGGCCAGCAGTTCCGGCCCTGAGGTGGGGCTCCCCGAAGCCCTGCCTCTCACACCCGCTCCCCCACCAAGATTAGGGTCTCATTCCCTGGAGGCCAGGGCTCCCAGCGCGGTCCTCGCCTGCCCGGGGTAGAAAGGCCTGGAGGCCAGGCCAACCACAGACGTGCAGGCAGCAGGTGAGAACGTGCTATACCTGGGGGTTGCCACCCCCGACATTTGGGGAGCCTTGCTCTTCTCCAGGAGGGGGGCCCGCAGAAACTTGCTCCCATAGTACAAACAGTCAGACTGAAGAAGGAGGGGGTTGCTTGGCTTGGCTTTCAGGGGTGTTGGGCCCCAGGCTGACGTGGAGCCCCCTCGGCCTGGGAGAGCCGGGGCTCCTGACTAGATGAGGCAGGCTGGGTCCAGCACAGGCTGCCAGGCAGGTCAGGTTGGAGGGCGGGGAGTGATGGGAGGGCTTCCTGGAGGAGGTGGGGCTCATGCAGGCCTCGAAGGGGGAGGAGGATGGGGATGGGATGGAAGGACAGCTGGAGCCGGGCCAGTGGCAGCAAAGCCCGGTCTGTGCAGGGAGGTGGCCAGGAGGCCGGGCTGTCCCCGAGGAGCCACAGGGCTGCATCTGCACAGTGGCGGGAGGGGGTCCCACGACAGGTGTCTGGGACAGGGACCCCATAGGAAGGACGCCCGGCTGCTCCGTTCCTGGGAAACAGCCTTAGCGCTAGAGAGGGATGCCCCCCTGGGCCACGGAAGCCAGAGCAGAGGAGGATCCAGGAGGTGGTGCCGGGAAGGCAGCCCCGGAGGCAGCCCCAGGCCGGGGCTACCTGGCTGCCCCGGGTCCCCCTCCCCCGCGCTTCCCGAGCCGGATGTGGCTGGGTCCACTGGAGCCCACGGCGCCACCTGGTGGCTGCGTGTCTGCCTGAACCTTCACCACCATGGGGACCCGGAGGTCCTGAGGGACCCTGTGCCTCCCCTCCAGGCCTGGGGGTCCCGCAGCGCTGTGGCCCGCATCCCCAGTGTCCCGGGACCCTCCGGGGCCAGCCTCCAGACATGTCCTGTGGTCCCGGGGTCCACCTTCACTGGGATGGCCCGGGAATCCTGCCAGGCCTGCAGTCCCCAACCCCGAGAGTGCGTGCCTGCCCCGCCCCCGCCCCCGCCCGGGGACACGGGGAGAGGCACACACACGCAGTCCACACGCACACGTGCACACACACACACAGATGCTGTGCTGACCTCGCACCTGGAATTCTCAACCATAAGTCTCCAGTGAAGCGACTTTAGTTCCAGAAGACACATGGGCCCTGGCATTCCGGAAAGTCAGGCTTCACTCTCAGTTCCATGTGGGGGCTGGGGGCTCGGGATTTGGCCTCGGGCGTCCTGCTCCAGGGCCCTGCAGGACCCCCAGGAGCCCTCAGGCCATCCGCCGCCCCTCCCCGAGGCCCTCCACCAGCCACGTGGACTGCAGAGCAGACCTAGGGTGTCCTTCTGAGGACAGAGGGCGTGGAGGCCTGTGGGCTTCCCCGAGCACCCGCACCCCACGGCAGGGGATCACCCAAAGGGAGTCCAACCAGAATCAGCCCCGTAATTTGCAGGGCCCATGCAGAAAACGTGCAGCCTTTGGTGCCAAATGGTTAGAATTTCAAGACAGCAATGGGGGGCGTTAAACCAGGCCCGGGCCCTTCTCTCTGAGCGCTGTTTCCTCCTGCCTGCGGGGCGGGCCTTCTCGGTGCTGCAGCTCCCTGGCCGTCTGCCCCTCCCCCAGCTGTCAGCTTCCTATTTGTACAAGACCCTGCAGGGACAATGCACACACAGCCCCTTGAGGGTGGCACAGCCGGGCCTGGGAGTGGGACACCTGGGGCCTGGGCACTCTCTGAGCTAAAGCTCCCTCCACCGAATTCAGAAGGGTCAGGGGTTCTGGGAGCAGGGCGGCCTCCATCCAGCCCACTGGGGAGGGGGCATCAGTGCCGTGTGCATGGGTGTCATCTGTGGGATCGCGGTGGGGCTCCTTCCTGCCTCTCCCCATGTGGGGTGCAGAAGGGAGGGGATCCAGCCCTACTGCCCCCTTACTCCTGGAGGGAGTGTGGCCCAGGCCCCTGGGTGGAGGGGAGGCAGGCTCTTGTGGATGAAGAGGCAGAGCCCCTGGTTGGAGGAACCATGACCTTGGCTGCCAGTGCCCCCCAGGGGAGGGGAGGCCAGGAGGAGCTGAGCTGGGGGGGTTCCCGTGGGTCGGGGGTCCCAGCGTGCCCCGGCGTGGCATCCGGCCCCCCCGCTCCGAATCCCCGGTCCCTGCTGTGGGCGGGAGCAGCCCGCCCAGGCGGGCCAGGTGTACTCCCGGCCCGGGCCCCAGGCAGCTAGGCTGCGCCAGGCCCACCCTCCCTCCCACCAGCAAGAAGGGTGGCAGGTCGGCAGGTGGGCAGGTCCGGGCAGCGGCTGCTGAGTCAGTTTGCAAGGAATGTTCTGGCCGCTGTCAGCTTCACCCTGTCCCTGCCTGCCCCCACCTCACCTGCTCCCCGGGCGCTCCTGGCACGGCGCCCTTGCTGGGAACGTATCTTCAGCCCAGGCTTGCTTGGACAGGCTCCCCCCAGCAGCCGACCCCCACTCCTCTCCCTACGTGCCCCCATGACCCCAGCAGAGCCCTGGCCCCTCAGGGCCCCCGTCTCCACGCTCCCCGGTTACTCCCGGGCCGCCGCAACCCCCACGTGTGAACAGGGCTTCACCCATGTGACCGACAACCAGGGCGGGCCTGAGGTCAGGGCCAGGGACGAGTCGGGACCCGCAACAGCCCCCAGGTGGGGCCCAGGGCCCAGGGGAGAGAGGCCGGGAAGGAGGGGGCTTCCTGGAGGAGGAGGCTCTGTAATGAGGAGGCCTGGCCTGCTTGGCTGGGGGCTGGGGGCTGGGGGCTGGGGAGGTGGCCAGGAGGCTGGGCCTGTGGCAGGCAAGCCGGCACTTTGGCCAGAGCCCAGCGCCTCCCTCCCCTTGGCTCCACTCAGAGCCCTTGCCCCTGGCCACCCTGGGCTGCCTCCTTGCCCAGGCAGACCCTGGGCCCGCTGCTGCTGGGCAGATGGGGCAGTTGGCCGGGGGCCGGGGGGCCAGCCCCAGAGGTGAGCCGGCCACCCCGGCTGTCTGCTCCCAGCCAGCAGGGACAGGAGATGGGGCACCCCTGGGGCCCCCACAGCACCCCGGCCCCGGCGGGCACCACGGCTGTACCCGGGCTCATTCCAGACCTCATCGTCAGGCTCCCCTGTGAGTTGTGGGACCCCTGGGGCGGGGGGGGGGCAGCTGCTGTCCATGGAGGCATCTCAGCTGCATTTCTGCGTCCACCCCCAGGGCCCCGCTGGGTGCTCATTGCCCTCGCTGTGGCAGCTGGTGTCCTCACGGTCTCCTGCAACCTCTGTGCTGCCCACAGGAAGAGGCCCAGGGACAGGGAGGCTGTGGGCCTGGGTGGTCCTCAAGGGACCACCACCGGCACCTACCTGGTGAGGAGCATGCACCAGCGCTCCCCGGTGCCCAGCTCCGGGCTGGGCCGCCCCCGAGGGCAGCTCAAGGCCCAGGGTCGGGGCAAGCTCAGCCCCCAAGCTGGTCTGGTTGCCCAGGAGCAGAGGCAGGGAAGGCCCTCCCAGCAGGGGAGGTGAGGAGCGAAGGTGAGAGGGAGGCAGGAGAAAAGGGAGGCAGGTGGGACTAAGGCCTGGAGGCCCCAAGTGCCAGCCCCAGAGGTTGGTCCACGGGCTGCGGGGAGCCACAGGAGGTTCTTCAGGAAGGCAGTGGTACTCGAAATCAATTTAGGGGAGATCCAGCAGCTAAGCCCCGTCTCACAGAGCTGAGCTGAGGATGTGAGCCCTTGTGTGGCCTGGCCTGGGATGTGGCGCTGCCTCCTTGGGCGTCCCAGCAGCACCTGTCACCTATCCCTACCTACCCAACAGGTGCAACCGGACATGGATAACTTGGAGACTGCCCCGGGGGGCCCCCAGCACTGGGGGCGCCTGCAGCTCTCCCTGGAGTATGACTTTGGAAGGCGGGAGGTGCGGAGCCCCCTTTGCTGGTGCAGAGGGCCTGCGGGTTCAGGGAGGGGTTGGGTGCCGGGTGGGTGCTGGGTGCGGGGCTGACCAGGGAGGGCCCAGGGGGCTGAGCCACCCCTGACTCCCAGATCAAAGTGGGCCTCAAGCAGGCTACAGACCTGAGGGCCTGTGGTCCGGGCGGCACGGTGGACCCCTATGCCCGAGTCAGCCCGTCCAGCCAGGCAGGGCACCGCGGCACACTCTGCCCCACGTTCTAGGGGACCTGCTGCTTCCACATGCATCTGGGCTGGGTGGCCAGGGGGCCTGGGCCGCGTGGGGGTGCCCAGCTCACACCCTTGCTTGCAGGTACTGCAGGAAGAGCTGTCTCAGACCACCCTGCAGGTGTGGGTGCTGAGCTTCAGGCGCTTCTCTGCCCACGAGCCGCTGGGCAGTCTCAGCCTGCCACTGGGTGCCATCGACCTGCAGCACGTCCTGGAGTAGTGGTGCCAGCTGGGCCTGCCGGGCGCCACCGAGGTGAGGCCATGGACTGCCGCGCTCCAGCCTGGCCCTGCCCTGGGTGCCACACGGGAGACTGAGGCCCCGTCTCGCTGCCCACAGCCCGAGCGGTCTGGAGAGCTGTGTTTCTTGCTCCGGTACGTCCCCAGCTCGGGCCGGCTAACCGTGGTGGTGCTGGAGGCGCGAGGCCTGAGCCTGGGCCTGGCAGGTGAGAGCCGTACCTGCCCCTCTGCGTGGAGGGGGGAGCCCCGTGCTTGGCCCTCAGACCTGGCACACCTCTGATCCCTTTCGCCTGCCCAGACCCCTGCGTGAAGATCCAGCTCATGCTGAACCAGAGGAAGTGGAGGAAGAGAAAGACTTCGGCTCGCAAGGGCACAGCCTCCCCCACTTCAACGAGGCCTTCACCTTCCTCGTGCCCTTCAGTCAGATCCAGGTGGGCTGCCTGGAGGAAGCGGTGGGTGGGAGCACCCTTGGGGCCAAACCGACTGCTGTCTTTCTCTTTCCCCATGAGCTTCGGCCTGCCTCCGCCCAGAGCGTGGATCTGGTGCTGGCTGTCCGGGACCGGGGCCCACGGGTTCGGGCTGAGCTGCTCGGCGCCCGGGCCTCTGGGCAGCCTCTGGGCAGCCTCTGCAGCCGCGGGCAGACACGCTGGCCCACGCCCGGCGGCCTGTTGCCCAGTGGCACCACCTGCAGCCGGCCGGGGAGGTGGACCAGGCTCTGGCCCTGAAGCCCCGCCCGCACCTGCCCTTGCCTGGCCCACGGGACTGAGGTGTGGGTGCTGTCCAGGCTGCCCCGTGGGGCCGCTGTAATAAATCCCTCCTTTTGCTGGGGCCGTGTGTCTTTCCCGAGCCTGTGGGGACACGGGGTCAGGGACTCCTCCATCGCTGCTGCGGGGAGAGGACTCTCTCCAGGCTCGCTGGGCCCTGAGGCCTCTGGCCAGTGCCCGACCCCTCAGGGGGGTGAAGGGGTCCCCTTCAAGCCCGACGGGGATGGTAGGAAGACGTAAGCAGTCCTCCCTGTCAGTGGGGCTGCTGGGTCCGGGAGGAAGACTACAGCCGGCCCCATGGGGACACAAGGGGTAATTGGGAGGCATTTGGGGGGTAGTGACAGTGGAGGGAAAGGACCCCAACCCAAGGGGCCGCCTTAGCCCCCCCGCAGGGCCCCACACTTTCCAAGGGCTGTTGCTGCGGGGCTTCCTCTTCGAGACGGCAGGGGGCAGTAGATGTCTTAGGAAGCCTCCTTGGGCCTCCGGGGGCTCAGCCCTGGCCAGGAATGCAGCTCTAATCCCCACACATCTGGACGGCTTCAGCTCCCCTGACCCTCCCCACGGCCCTGAGGCCGGCAGGGCTGGGGCCACGCACCCCCAGCTCGGAGGATGCCAAGTCATGGTCCTCCGGATGTCTCTGCTGGGTGGGGGCCCGGGCGGGGGGTGCAGGCCCGGGCCAGGGTGAGAAGGGCAGCAGTGCCGGGCCTGCCCAGGCGGGCCCCAGGCCCCTTGGGTCAGGGAGAGGTTCCCAGGCGGGTGGTGCCGCCATCCTTGGGTTGAAGGACGTGTTCCGAGTGAGCCAGGAACCACCCCAGGGCAGGGCGTTCCGGCCCACTGCACGTCCAGGCACCCTCCCTCCTGTTCCCGGGAGGACAGGATCCCAGCGGGGGGAGGGCAGCCCCCACCCAGAGGGCCCCCGCCACTGCCGTGGGCCACATTTGGGGGTCCAGGCCTTGCCCCTGAGCTGGAGCCAGCTTGGAGGAAGGAAGGGACGCGGCCAGCTCATGCCCGGGGACGCCTGGCAAAGGCAGCAGTGAGCTGCAGGGGAGCTGCTCCACCCCAGGAAGCCGGCCCCCTGGGGAAGCAGAGGGGAAACTGAGGTGTGGACCCTGGCTTAGGACCGGAGTGATCCCTCAGCTGACCCTGAGCCTGTGCCCTGCGGTGGCCCAGCAAGGCCACCTACCGCTGACCAGAGGCTCCTTGCAAGAACAAGGGAGGCTTCTCGAACTTGTCACTGAACTCTAAATAGAGCAACCCAACCTCGGCACCCCCCCCCCCCCCGACACACCAAGACTTCTTGGACTGGACGACAGCACGCGGCTGGGCCGGGCCAGGCGGCCTGGGCAGGTGGGGAGGCCCCTGTGCCCCCATTGGTCTGAGGAGGGCTCCATGCCCTTTCTGAGCGGGGGCCCAGCCTGGGGGAGGCCATTTATACCCCTCCCCCTGGGCCCACCAGCCCAGCTTGCCGCCGCCGGCCTGACCTCGCTCCCGGCACTGCTGCCCAGACGCTAGGTGAGGCCAGCCCGGCCAGCTAGGCCGACGACAGGCACTTCTTGAGCTAGCTTGCAGGACGACGTCCCAGGGTGGGGGTCCTGGGGGTTGGGGGCCGCCTCCAGCAGCCTCTCTGGGGGGGCTTCCATGGAGCTGGGAGCCAGACGGAGATGCACTGGGATGCAGCTGGTGGGGCAGGGGTCGTGGACAGCCCCTTGATCACCGGGCCTCACTGCCGGGTGGGACACGAGGAGGAGATTTGACAGGTTGAGGGACCCCAGGCCAAAGTGGGGAGCAGTTTCTTGCATGCACTTGGGCCCAAAGCCGAAGGAACAGAACTAAAAATAGCTGGATGGCTCTGGTGGCCACCTGTGCTGGCCCGCCCCCCCCACCCCCCCCCCCCGGGACAGCTGCAGCAACCCAGGCCCCGCCCGGGACATTTCGGGAACACTTTCTCCTCTTCTCACCCTGGGAATCCCAAGACAGCGCCTCCAAGGAGGTCCGAGCTGGGGGCAGGGCGACAGGGGGCAGGGTTGGTCCGAGGGCTGCCCCCCCCACCTGTGGGTACGGGGGCCGTGGCCCTCATGCCCAGGCCTTTTCTCTTCCACAGGCTCTAAGCCCAGGACTTCAGGATGGGGGAGTAAGTTCAGCTCCAAGCCCAGGGCCCCTGCCGCCCCCACCCTCCCCCCACTGGGGTGGAGGTCTCTGCAGCTCCCCAGCCAGCTCTGGCCACCTCCCCCACCACCCCATCACACTGCCCCATCCATGTCCCTAACCTCTCTCTTCTCTCCCTGCTACCGCACCTGCCCCCTCCCTGGGACAGTGAGGAGGTGAGTACCTGCTTGGGGCTGGCGGGGCATGAAATACAGAAGGGATGGTTCCCCTTACTTGGGATAGGTCCGAGGTCAGAGCTCAAGGGAAGCTGCCCAGCCCTCCCCTGTGAAGGTGCCCCACCCCACCTCCCAGACACTGACGAAACAGAGGACGTGGCCTCCGTGCCTCACGGGGCAGGGGAAGTGGGGCTGTGGCTAGGTCACCAGAATCGCTTCTTCTTTTGACCGCTCCCCCCACCTCCTGGGCCCTGCCGGGATCCCCCGCCCCTCCCACTGCCCCTAGGCACGGCCCCTCTCCACCCACTCCCAGCCTTTGGACCTCACCTGCCACCTGGACACAGGTGTCCTGGGCCCGGGGCCCCCCAGCAGGGCCTCCGGAGCCCCCAGGTCCAGCTGCCCCCCCAGGCAGGGCTCACCGACCCAGGTGGGCAAGCGTGGAGGGATGTGGGGGTGCTGGGGACCCGGATGGGCCCTGACTCTGCTTCTTCCCCCCATACCCTGCAGAAACGCAACAGGGCCATCACGGCCCGGAGACAGCACCTGAAGGTAGGTGCTGCCCCCCGAGAGGGCCACCCTGGGGTGTGCGCAGGCGGGGGCCCCACGGCCCCTCACTGGCCTGCCCCCTGCCCCCCGTCCCCCGCAGAGCGTCATGCTCCAGATCGCCGCCACGGAGCTGGAGAAGGAGGAGAGTCGCCGTGAGTCGGAGAAGCAGAACTACCTGTCTGAGCATTGCCCCCCACTGCACCTGCCCGGCTCCATGTCTGAAGTGCAGGTACCCTCCCCGAGCAGCGCTCCAGCCTGCTGCCTCAGTTTCCCCATTGGTCAAGAAGGGGGTTAGGGCAGGTGGACCACTGCCCAAGCCCCCCACCTGCTGCTCCCCCCCAGGAGCTCTGCAAGCAACTGCACGCCAAGATCGACGCGGCAGAGGAGGAGAAGTATGATATGGAAGTGAGGGTCCAGAAGAGCACCAAGGAGGTGAGCGGGCGAGGGGCGGGGCCGGGCGCACGGTGAGGGGCACTCCGAGCCGGCGGGGGGGCCTGGCCACCGCTGGCCCCCACCAGCCCTCGCCCCCACCTCACAGCTGGAGGACATGAACCAGAAGCTGTTCGACCTGAGAGGCAAGTTCAAGAGGCCCCCGCTGAGAAGGGTGCGCATGTCGGCCGATGCCATGCTCAAGGCGCTGCTGGGCTCCAAGCACAAGGTGTGCATGGACCTCCGGGCCAACCTGAAGCAGGTCAAGAAGGAGGACACCGAGAAGGTAGGTCGCGGTCCCCTCCACCCGCAGCGCGGCCCGGCACCACCGCCCAGCGCCCGCCCCGGCGGGGCGAAACCGAGGCCACGGGGGTCTGCAGCCCCTTCCTGAGCTCCATACCAACCCCTCCCCAGGAGCGGGACCTGCGCGACGTGGGCGACTGGCGGAAGAACATCGAGGAGAAGTCTGGCATGGAGGGCAGGAAGAAGATGTTCGAGACCGAGTCCTAGGCCGCCCGCCACCCCCACGCCCGGCCTGGTGCCCCCCGCAGAGTGAGGGAGGACACGGCTCGTCTCAGTGGTCAATAAAGGATTCCAATCCCCATGATTGGTCCGGTCTGGTCTGGTCCTGCCCAGCCTCACTGCCCACAGACTGCCACTGGGCGCCCAGCAAACTGCTGCGTGCCGGGGAAACCCGGGCCGAGGGGCCGCGGGCAGCTGCACGCAGGCTTCTGGGACTTCAGGCGCTGCTGGGGGCGGGGTGCCTGCACCTGGGGCTGGGCAGCGCGGTCAGCCCCCTGCTGTCCCCCAGGGCTTGGCCTGGACACGCCCGACCCAGCAGGCCTGCAGGTCGTGGCCCGAGTCCTGTCTGAGCCATAGTTCTGGACCACGGCATGGTCATCCTAAGGGGACCTGCTAGGCCCAGAGACCCTGTCCATGCGGCATGGTTCCAGGCCGGGGGTCATGCAGGCGTGCCCTCCCCAGGCAATGTGGGCAGCCCCCATTCCTCCTGCAGGGGGCACACGGGCACAGTCCAGGATCAGACAGCTCCCAGGGTGGCTTGTGCCCACGGAGCAGGGACACACAGAGCTGGAGTCCACGCTCCTGTCTGCCCCACAGCAGGCCCAGGGGGAGGGCTTGCTTTGCCTCTGCTCCTCCCCAGGGCCGTGGCCCTCCTCATACATCAAGGGACGATGTCCCAGACAGGCCCTGATGAGGACCGTCACAGCAAGGTCACGGCTGTCCCACCTCCTCTGTGGGGAATGACACGGTGACCCGCCAAGGTCCCTCTGCTCAGATCTTCGGAGGGGTGCCCAGGGAGGCCAGGCTGCCCGCCGTGCCCTTGCCCTCTGGACGTGCCAGCAGCTGGACACGGGAAGGGTATGCCCTCAGCCGTGGGTCACCTCGAGGGACCACGTCAGCCTGCCCTGTGGCCTTGCCTGAGTTCTGCTCCCGGGCCCCACTGCCGCCCAGGGATCTGGGTCCGTCCCTCCAGGCGCTCCCTGAAGGCCCTCCTTGGAGAGCCTGAAACTTGGGGCCCAGCCTAGGCAACCCCTGGGCCCTGCGCCTGTAGGCAGGGTAGAGAGGACCCAGGGGTGTTCCGGGCTGAGGCGCATCCCATGCAGAGCGGAGTGTGGGGATTCAAGGAGCAGGCTTTGGCGGCTGGATAGAGATAGAAGCAGTGCCCCACCACGGACCCGACAGAG